TTTGAACTATCAATATATTTCTTTTAATTAACCAACCATCCAACTTTCTTTGCTTGATAAGCACAACTTAAAAGAAAAACAGTTCAACCTATCCTACAATCGTGGCTCATTCTCAAGTTCAACAAAAGTTTTTCTTTGACTCGTCATCTGAGATGCTCCTTATCTCCTTGCTCTCTCTCTCTGCTCTCAGACAACATCCAGCCATCTTATTGAACACTGATGATGAATGGGGTTGGATTGATGGCTAATTGACTCCACTGTATCACTTAATCTCCTGCCTTTGTATTCCTAGTTATCCTCCTTTTCCTTTTTTTCCCTGCTTATAAATCCATTGCTGTTAAGATTGGGCTGAGTTTCTGTCCATGATCTATCCTAATTAGATGGACCCCACAGGAGATTGTTCTGAGCCTTTTGTCAAGGGTAATATCTTCTGGGGGAATCGATTGCTGCGGCTGTTGAGCTATGAGTATGTACACCTTGTTAAGGATGGTCTGCCTTGGGTTATTTGCAACAGATTAATAATATTTCTCTGTAGATTGATATCAGCATGCTCATGCTTGACTGAATCTGTCCGTCAGTGAAGTCCTTTGCTAAATCTCACCCTTACTTTGCATTCATTGAATTTTAGCTTAATTTTCCTAAGTAATTTAACTGCTATCAGTGATAGGTTTTCATAAAAAATTTTTTAAAATCTTGCCTAATTGTCATTACTCCCGTTTTGGAGAAATGTGTTTTTGTGGTGCCACCGTTGCACTATAGTGAGAACACAATATTCACTGTGCTATAGAGTATTTCTGATTTTCTAAATCCTGCCCTGGCTGATGCTTTTATAGATTAAAAGTCATTTTAATCCTCCGTCGATGCTCTGCAAACTATAGATTTAGTGAAAGAATCAAGCCGAGAAAATGTCAGAAAAAAAAAATCAGACTGATGCAGTCGAGGTTTTTAGCTGATTTAGATTCTCCTTCATCAAGTTTGGGTCTGTCACCAAAAAGACTCAACACTGGAGAAAATTTTTTTATCAAATATGATGTACGTCTCAGCGTAAGCATCCTTCTGCAATCAGGTAATTACTGCATTTCTGTTTTTACATTTTGACCGTCAAATTGACTTGGAATGTATTTGAAAATATTTATGATCCCTTTTTTTACATCATAAGAAGCAGCATTTTCATGTGAGTGTGGCCTTTCTGTGTTTTATCGGCAGGGAAGAAGTGCCATTCCTCAGTAACCAGTGGAGAATGACATAAAAATGGCTCATCTTGCCTTAAAGGTTCTTAATGGTTATACAAACCATTTGTCTAACATTTGCACACGCTTAAGCTTTTCTCCCTTCCTTTATCACATTCCCTTTTCCTTATGCCATTTTATCACTCCTCTCTCAACAATCGGTCACTGTGCTCCACCTCTCCTGCCCTTGACTGTTTTCTTGAGTCTCCTTGACTCACAGTCAGTCCCGTTCTCCCCTGTGACTGGCAAAAAGCCGAGCTAGCCCACGGCCAGACTCCTGTTAATCATTTATTTAAGGGCTTTAATGTCACATTCAGCTTCAGTCTCCCACCTAATGCCCACCTAGTTGAGGGGGACGGAACCGAGGAAGTGAGCAACCATCTAAGAGTCCTCGCCTCTTCTCCTCCAGTGCTTTACATAGTTTGAATAAGTGGTTTCCAAAGTGTGGGGTGCGCCCCCTAGGGAAGGGCGCGGGAAGCACTATGGATGAATGGGGAAAAATGGAAAAAAAAACAGTGACACAAAACTACTTCACTCTACTGATGGTTTGTAGTGTGTTTTGTTGCAACCTGAAGTGTGAAATAAACCTCAGTGGAGTTTGAAAACAAAATATGCGTGCAGGTTTATCTCTGGTTGAACGATGTGTGTGCGCAGTTGATTTTGTTTTTTCTTTTTTGGAAGGGTTTTGTTGTCATCCATAGGGGGGCCCAGAAGAATATCTTTGGGAACTGCTGGTTTAAATACATGTGGAATGCTGCTGCTTTAATGTTGCACCTCCTCTGGGTTTGCACACTGACCCCACAAAGACCCTCAATGTCACAGGGATGTAGCTGATTAATTAACGGGGAGCCCAGTAATTGAATATGGAGAGTTTACCCAGAGTATCCTTATCCAAAGCAACATAAATCCTTCAGTCAATTACCGCAACGATGCATTCAGTTCACAGGATGATCGACGGTCTGAATTTTACAAGATGGGTTTTGGCAATATCCGGTTGCTATAATGTGTAACCGTGACAACAAAGTGTTTTCACAACTAGAAGCAGCTGATTAGCATATAAAAAGTTCACATTTTATGTGAGCTATGGCCCAAATCCTAGAGTGTTTTGAAAAGGAAACATTATGGATCTCTTCAAATGGCCAATAATCATATTCCTGTCTCCTGAGAAGTGACAAAAGCCAAACAGATGGATTATCAGTGCTTGCCAACAATCACTCAGGACATTCTGCAGATTAAACGGCTTCTCTGTTGAGTTGACATGACGTTTGACTCTGACTGTCGAAGTGCTGTCATTTCTGAATTAATGTCGAAGCACATTTTCAAGGAGAGATCGTTGCTGCCTGGATGCCAATGAATCCCGATAGGTCCAGAAAAGCAGTATATATTTCTGACCTTTCGGTTCCTAAAGCGAGTTTAATACAGTTAACTCGTGTTTCTTTCTATTTTGCAATTTGTGACTCCTCACATGAGGCTGTTTTTCTTGCCAGCACGCAGTCAGGAGGGTAATTCACATTTGGAATCCAGCATTACACGCATGCTGATTGCAGGGAGCTAATCAGCTCTGACCTTTTCTCTCTCTGTAGGTCTCTCCCTGTAGAACGGGGCTGTTTAGCCTCAGGTCAGCTGTTTAAAAAAAAAAAGAATCTTTTCGTCAGCTGCCTATTGACTGCTTAACTAAACGTGCCTCTTTCAGTAGAGCAGATAGCCTAGTTGGTCATTAGTTCCATTATTGGTTCTAATGACTAAAGCATTCTCATTGGAACCTTATTTCCCAGATCTAAGGGCTTAACTGACTTCTAATTGACTCTGAGTTACTGGATAAAGGGGAGCAGGTGCACAGTGTCCGTTTCCGTGCCCTTTATGTGGTGATATTTATCCCTAAATGTCAGCTCTGGTCTTTTTCCCATCTGGGCCAAAGAAGCAAGAGGGCCAAGGGATTAGGCAGAGAGATCCTCAGCCTAAAAAGTGCAAACTTTTGACTGAACAGGAAAGACTGGAGATCAATGAGGACTTTTTTGGGGGCTTTGAAGCCGGAAAAAAAGCCGCCCGATCAATGAAGAGCTGTTCACTTATTAGTGTCTTCAAAGACGTGAAGAAAACATTCAGTCGCTCTTGACAAGCTGTCACCTGAAGAGCTTCGACAAAACACAGGGGAGGAACAACTGTGGAACTTTCTCCTTGATCTCACCCCGTCCATCACATCAGCTTTTTGTAGCTGCTTGAAAAAGACTCAATGAATTAGATTTTTGTCTTAATTACTTCCGAAAATTTCATATGAGATTTTTGGTTGTTAATTGAGTTGTAGTTAATTTATCTATACAGTTTGGTTTGTTTGGAAAGGTGTGCTTGCGTGCGTGTGCGTGCGTGTGTGTAAGCAATCGAGCTCTAATGCGAAACAAAAACGCTAACTCTGGTCCGCCAAAACGTCTACGTCTCAGTTCGGTTGAAGTGAAGTCTGGCACAGTTTGATTTCATATGTGGATGCAAGCGGACCGGATACCGCCCCACAAGCAGGAAATACCACCACCAGTCTGCGGGGGGCACTCTGGCAAAATACAACCAAAACAAACAGGATAGTCTTGCACTATTTGGAGAATTGGCTCATGGTCTTTCACTAAAGACCAAAGAAGAAACTTTACAATCGCTAAAATCTGATGCCGCTCCGTTTTATTTACATTTTGTGAAGAAGGAAGTTTTGCTCAGGGTCTTCTTCTGATGTTTCGTGTCACTTCCTGCAGTAGTTCTTGGTGCCACCACAGGCAAGGAGGGGAACAAGTTTCTCAAAGGGTTTGGTTCGTTTGACAGCAAGTGCAGTGTGAAAGCGAACAGCAGCTGGAAATGTAACAAATGTAGCAACGTTAGTCCCCAATCGAACAAAGTCTCCAGCACCATCAGTTGTGAAAACACCCTGAAATTAGATAGTTGGGCACATTACATCAACATGACAGGCATCTTTAAAAAGCGATTCCTTTAAGTCAGCTTCAGCAGTACGGTTGACAAGTTCACACACTCCCTGTTTCCTCTCTTAGCAGGTCATCAGAAAAAGTTCCCACTGACTCCTCTACTCTGCCTCTCTCCACCTTCAGCCTCTCCACCTTCCCCGTTACTCGTGTTTTCCTCTTGCTCTCTTGGCTCCGCGCTGTTTTGGTTATCTGTGATTGCCTCAAAGGCCTTCCTTCCTCTCTCCACCATGAAAGCTGTAATTTTGTCCCACTCTCGTGCACCAGCAGTCCACGTCAGGGCGTTGCACGTCCAAACCCTGGCTCCATATTGAGCACATTTTTCTCAAGGTTTTTTTTATTTTTATCAGGTGTAAAATGTAGAACTCAATACTCAGTGTCAGTGACTGGTGGGTTGGGAGGCGTTTGCTAAAGTCATAGCTTTAGTTGTTTTTCATTTTGTACAAAGTTCTTTTGTCTATTTCTTCATCACGATCACATGTCATTTATCTCACGATTTCAGTGTAATAAAAACCTTTTTTATTTCTTTTATATTAATTTCCACATTTCCCATCTACCATAAAGCAAATTAGTTGCATTTCAAATCAGGAGAGGCATTTCAGCAGGCAAATTACACACGACGCGCCTCTCTGCTGCCTCTTAATGCGGTTTGTTGCTAGGGCAGCACAGATGCAGGTTTATCTTGCTGTATGTCTAACAGATGATTACCTAGAAGTTATTTTCCCGCCATGCTGTGCAACAGCAATTAGGAAAATTTGCTCCTTGAGCCCTGATTGCCTTAATTCACCCCTCCCCCCTCCTCTCTGTCCAGGAGCAGAGCCCCAGTAACGCCACGTCCCTGGCTATGATGCAGGAGCCGCAGGAGGTGGTGGAGGAGACGGTCACCATAGAGGAGGACCCCGGCACCCCCACGTCTCACGTCTCGGTGGTCACCTCCGACGACGGAACCACGCGGCGCACAGAGACCAAGGTATGTATGATATAGATGAGGCGATTGAATTGTTTTTTTTTTTTTTTTTTTTTTTTTTCAAAATCTATACTTTCAACCTGAAACTGCACAAAATCTTACCAAATATTTTGGGTCTATTTTCTAGTTGTAAATATCTTAGTAAGTTAAAGTTATAAGATAAAACTATCTTACAAGCAACACATGGAAGCTTGTCAATAATCCCTTAATATTGATGAAAAAGTACTTGTTCCTCATGCAGAGTATTTCACTAAAAACAAGCAGGCCATGTTGCAATAATCAATAAATCAGTTAAATAAAAAAATAAAAAACAATTTAAAATCGAGCTCAATCATTTCCATCTGCATAGTTTATCATTTTTTTCCTCTTTCTCTTTCTACTAAAACCAGGATGATAAAAGTCTCGAGCCTGGTGATTTGGTCTCAATTAGCTCTTGTTTTGAAGGGCAATTTTGTTCACATAGACTTCACAATTCATTTCACTTATTTATTTCATTTTATTTATTTTGGACATTTAAAATGTCTCCTAGTTCCAGTGTTAAATATTCATAAGAATGTAAAGTTTACTAATCTTTGAGAATGTTTTCTTGCATAATTGCGCCATTACCATATGTTGCTTGAAAGTGATGTCAGAGCAACAATATTATTGCTCATCATGATGACTTCTGCGACAATTTAGCGTCCAGAAACATTTGTTATCGTGACAGGCCCAAAAACAGGGCATTTTTACCGTGAAATAATTTGCTAATGGAATAATTGCTTTTTTGGTCAATATTAAGGAATTATTTAATTAAAACCATCCAGTATCTTGATGAAAAGTAACTTGTTTCATCTTATTGTTTTATCCAAAATTGCTTGGTAAGATTTTGTAGTTTTTGGAGTGTGGCGCACAAAAAGTACAGCTCCCTCCCTGCCCTCTCAGCTTAGTGTGACGCCTAATAGCATTTGCGGCAGTCGTTGTCGCCTATGGATCCAGATGAATTCAGAGTGTCAAAATGAATGCCATCCAGCAGCATACTCTGCTCGCAATCCCAGATTTCCATTATTAGGGAGTCCAAATCCCGTAATCCTGCTCCCGAAAGAGGAGCCCTCCCCCCTCCATGCTCGCAGCTGTATTTCTGTTTATTTCTCCCTATTATTATCAGTCAGTTTTTCCATCATTCTCCCAGTTGTGTGCTTCTCAGAAACCCCCTTTGTTGACTTTCCCCTCTACTGTGTTTTGTTGTTCTTCTGAAAGGAAATGCCAACCAATGTGAAGGTGAGTGTGGTTTTATGTTCTGCTGCGGCTTCCGTCACCACGCCGCTGATGTTTGCCCATACACCTTGCAGCAGCCGCGCACAGCACAGTCTGTGGCTTTCCAAGCTAACACAATTGACCATGTTTTAAATCACAGCTTGCCGCTTCCGCCTCTCGAGATAATCTATCCCCAGTAATACTGTCTTCTGCATGTTTTGCTTCTCTTAGTCTAAAACGCCTTCAGGGCAGCAATGAGGCATTATTTATTAATGATGGTTGTAACATTAAATCCAGACAAGCAATTAAATTTCAGTTAGACATATATGTGTTTTAATGTTCCAGCTACGTATTGGAGAATGCCTAAAATGCACAAGTGTTGCAAACAAGTTCAAGTTGTCATCCATAATCTGTAACCACATGCTGACTAATGTGTTAACAGGCTGCACACCACTTCTAGAAGTGTCAACAAATTATACGCTCATTAACTGAATGTGTTTCTGTTTTAAATATGTTGTGAGATGTAGCACACGAGCTTCTTCACGCATCGAAAAGGTACATTGTGGTAATATTTCTGTTTTCAGGTGTATTGATTTCAGATGAAATGTTTATTTTTTTTCGTTTGTTTGTTTTTAGTCACACATTACGGGGCTTCAACTCCTGCAATAATCACTGCAGACACAGAATGGATCATTTCTGCAAGGTTTGGTTTTGTAAAAATAAAACCAGCTGAGGAATCTGTTGCTGTCGTTTTGTGGAATCTCAGACTGAAGAGAAATTCATTCAGTCTTGAGTAGAAAGTTATTCTCCTGTCGTTTTGGTTCAGAGTTTATCAGTGGCTATCTTCCATGATTTCTCCATGATATTTTACATGCATCATATAAAACAGTGTTTTAAATTACTGTCTAAGGAATAAACAGTCCTGACTGCATAATAAGGAGGAATACATCTTTTAAGAGCTGCAGACTGGTGCTTTTCCCTGTTGGGCTGATCACTGTTAATGACAACAAGCTGATCGCACTGTGAATCAAAAATGATGCGTTAAGGTATCTTGACGTAAGAAAGTCCTTGTTCTGCTGTCTTTAACATGCTGCCTATCTTTCCTTGGCATTTAGAGTGTTTCCCACTAAGTGAGTTTCCCACTAAGTGAGTTGTCAATGTTAAACATTTTATTTTTAGCCATAATTTTCTGAAGTTTTATTTATACGTCAGGCTCGTAACATAAGAATGTTGATTTTTATTTCACAGGAATGAGACGGGAGACCTCAGCAGTATTTTTTTGGAGAAACTGAAGACTTTTACAGATTGATTGAAATAATCTATAAGCATACTGTACTTTGAGGGTTTTTTCCACAAATAATTTTTGTTGGACATTTTTTGTGAAAAGGCGTTCATAAAATCTCCCTATTTGTGTTTCCATTAAGTAAAAGAACAGGGACTAATAGACCCCAACAGTGTCTAAAGAATAGGGCTGATTTTATTGTCCAGTCTTGGTTTGATTATTTCAGATTTTAAACTTTATAATTATCCAGTGCAGTCAAGCTTCAAACAACATTTTAGTTTAACATAGTGATAGGATGCTCTGAAGCAGACACTATGCTTAGCATCGGTATGCTAATTATTAGCTGTAGATGTTCTCACAGTTTTTACAAATCATTCCTGTTTTCTGACACTCTTCTACTGTGTACTCAAATCAACTCAACTTAAGTGCTGATGGCTTCTTTATTGTTTATTATTATTATTATTATTATTTGCTAGGGCAGTATTTATTTGTCTTTATTAGAACTATTTCCTTTCTACTTTCAGAGTTTGAGTTTGACAGAGATGCCTTTTTCTATTCGAGCTGCTTGTTTGCCAAGAGGGGAGAGTTCTGCTGTTTTAAGTCCACACACGCTAAAAAAGAAGAAATGTTTCATTTTAAAGTGGATTTACCGTATTTACACAACTTGCTACCCAAGGATCTCTCACAAAGTCGGTCAAAGCAGAAACTCACATTTGGTATTTGTCTCTTCTCTGCGGCATAAAAGCTGTGCTAAACCCTGGCAGTCAGATGTATTCACAGAACATTCCTGCTAGTGACTCGTTTTGTCAAATAACAAAAATACATTTTAAGTTGCAGAGACCGCTTCAAGACTCTGAGCTAGATGCCCTCTTTAGATGAGTCTGGACTTTTTCCACACTTTCAGACATACCTCCATACATTAAAAACTTGCTTTGCAGCGTTTTGGATGCAGATAGCAACATCGCTGCAGTAAGTCGTTCCCCTTAGGCCATCAGATGAGTGGAGAGCGCACAGTGTGGAGCTTCTAGTCCAGGGACTGTGAAGCTGTAATTAAAAAGCCAGCTCTAATCCCTCATAAGGGAGGACCCGTTGCCCTCCAGCCTGTTTACTGCGAGGGGATTGGCCCCTTACCTCTTTTGGCCACATTCACTCTTTCACACTCACTTTATGTAGGAATAATGCACACCAGTGCGTGCAGCAAAACATCACACTAATCAAAGGCTTTGCTGAAAACCAAGGGGAAGGAAGGACACTACTTTCAAGGCTCTGGCACCCTACTGAATGGAGGAGTTGGGTGTTTTCTTGAAATTACTCTGCAGAGTAAAGCAGATTAATGTCGAGGGTGAACTTCAAATTGGATCCAAACTCTTAACGTGCCACCCGCTCTCATCGTGTCTTCCGTGTGTCGGTTTTACCTCTTTTCTCTTCCACCTCCAGTCATTTGTCAGCAGCTCACAGATGTATTTCTGTGCATGTCTGTTTCTTTTGAACCGAACGTCGAACCATGCTGTGTAATTTCAACATGATTCTGCTCCTTGATGGTTATCCCACGTCTAACTGCTGGAAGATGAAACGCAGAAGCTTCTCTCGTCGTCTTGATCTGCCAGCAGAAAAGTTGCTTCTGTGGTAACCATGTGTTTTTGCGACAAACTATCAGCAAAATCTTTAACAGAAGACTGTGAAGTGAACTGAAAAGCAGTAGCTGCTGTAAATAGATTACAGGCTACAATTCAGCAGAGTCGCCAATGTCTATTCACAGTAAGTCATAGCTGACAAGTATAGTTGTTACTGCTTTTTACCCAATGGCGTACAAAAAAAACAAGATATTGTTTTTCTGCCATCAAGCAATCTCCCCCCACAAAGATCACAAACGTTTAAAAAGTTTAAAGTGTGAGAAGCTTTTAACATTGGTCAGCTTTGTTCTGGAAGCAGATACTGGACAAAAGGTAGAGCCCTCCAATTTCCTTTTCAGTTCCCCTCATTATCCTTTGCAGGACAATAAACTGCACGGTGGCAGACGTTCTTCGGCTAACAGAGTTTGAACTAACACCACCAAAAATTCTCAGTCAAGAACCCCTTCCAATTCATAATTGATGTTTTCTCCTGGTTGCTGCCCATGTACATTTATACGAAAAACCTGTATAACTTTACCAATTAATGTATAGTGGGTTGGCTTTTAGGTCAGGGTTTGGTAAGTGTTGTAGTTTGGCCTGAGAGTGAACAGACCTTAGAATGAAACTTGATATTTTCTCCTTACGTTCCCCTGCTGACTGCCATATATCAGCTTGAGTACCATGATGAGATGCAACACGTCAACACACTCTGACCCACAGTTTTGAAGGATGTGGAGAAGATTCTGGTAGAGAGTGATGCTGGTGGCAGTTTCCGTTTCATGACCACACTTTCTTTTGTTGTTTTGTTTTCTTTATCAAGGGAGGCCATCAGAAATCTGGACTTGGAGGAACTTACACTCATCTACCTTCTCTGCTACTTAGGTGGTGACGCTGAGAGTTCCTGACCTCTGGGAGTTGATAATCATCCCTTCTTTCTTGTCCAATCTCTCATTGCTGGTTGATTCATTTCCACTAAACTTCCCATTAAACCAATCCCACTACTGTGGTATCGTCTGCAAATTTAATGATCAAGTTTTCCTCATGCGGGGATGCACAGACTAAATTGTTAAAGCAGATTAACTACAGATTCTCCCTACGTTCTCAGCTCATTCAGCTTACAGTCAATTGGCCCACAATGTGCAGTAGAGTCTATGGGCGCATGTAAACAGTCAATTATATCCACTTTCATCCTGCTGCCCCAGTGTGAAATACTTTCCCTTGGCCAGCATCCAGACACTCTTTCCTGCTGGCACAGTCTCCGTGAACCAGACATTTTAGACTTAGACCAATAAAAGCCGCATTCCTTCTCCTCTCCTCTGGATATGAGCTAATGAGAGTTGCGGTTTACCACCTAAGCAAATAAAATCATTTTACTGCCGTCGGCTAGCAACGGGCTTCCTAGCCGACACTTGAGCAGGTAAAGTGGGGGCGAGTTAAAGCGTTCAGCTCAAAATAGCAAATGACCATGATCGGCTTTTAAAATCAGAACTGTTTATTCCTTCAACAAAGCAACGGGCGGTTTCTGTTCGAGTCGTCTTCGCAAGAAGCTCTCTAGCTTTCGTGAAAATCAGTGGCAGGCTTCATCATCACAGCTTCCTTAGCAACATGATTTACTGCCTCCTCCCGTCTCGACAGCCCAGCCTCCACGCACATGGATTCTCCTGCTAAAAAGTGGTAATAAAACATTTTGCATTGCTTTAAATGAACGTTCTCTGTCTTTACGCCCATTTTTAACGCCCTTGCAAACTAGTAAGGACCGCGTCCAACTGACAGCGATTGTTTCAAACTTTTTTCCCTACCAATGTGATGTTTTAAAAAAAAATACAATTTTGTATTCTAAACCACATAATATCAGTAGAGTTGCTACATTTGTGGATAAACTCTCTCACTACCAATTCAGCAATTCCCTTTGAGGTGTGTTTACCCCACTCCAGCAGAACTCAGTCGTTCCTCTGAAACCCAGGTCCCTCGTCTCCCCTTTGCGTGATGGTTTAACATCTTGTGAACTTGGGCGTACATCAAAGGGTGTTTGAAAATGGGTGATGGATCCGCTCGCAGCCCTTGCAGATTGCCTAAAAAGAGGTAATAGTACATGCCAGCTGAGCATGTCGAGGCAGGGAAGCTGTAGCATCAAACGCTCCCCTCAGCCTCTAACAGCCATAATAAAGTAGAATAAATGATGACTGCTTCTTATGTTAGTGTAAACATAAACAGACTGCATTTGTTGCTTTGGTGAATGGACAGTAAAAAAAAAGTGCAATCTCCTTTAGTTTGAGTTTTTCTGTATTAGAACACAAAGACATGATTCGGTCAATTGTACACAAATTCTGAGATGAAGTGAAAATGGAGATGCAATATGCAGTTTAATAAAAAGAGACCTTGGCAGCAACCTTAATTAAATAAATGTATTGACATTAATTCATCTGTATACCAGGAATTTTGGCGGTTTGTTGCTCTGGAAAATGCAGTACATGTAGGAGTGGACATTATTGATCATATTGCTTATAATTTGTTGCTATACATTCTTATTGTGAGGAGAATCTTAATTTTTTGTTGTCATGATATATTTATTGTCATGATATATATTTTTCAAAAGCAGTTTTTGTGGGGCTGGGATTGTTGCATCATCAAGTCAGAGCTATGAACTTGGCTAACAAAGACATAATGAATAGTTATTGCCATTTTTATTGTGACTGCAGTAGCACCATAAAGTATTGTGATAAAACTTTAAGTCCATATCGCCCATCACTTAGGTACAGTTATGTATTTAAACAGCGTCTTTAGGTAAAGCAATCTGCTGTAATCTTTGAGAACTAGTTGTTTCTGTACATCAATCTCAATTGAGAGATATTGTCTCTTTTTTATTATTCAGGCATTTAGCAAATAGCTAATTTTGGGGATTCAAATGTACCTAAAAAGAGTTTTGAGCTGATTTAACTTAAGACCATGAAGAAAAAAAGGTGTGTGTTGTTGTATGTATGAAAATCACTGGTTTCATCTGTACTTATTGTTAGAGCTCAGGATGGATGCCTTAAAAGCCCACTTTGGTTGGTGAATTACGGAGCTAGCATTGTGGTTTTTGTCCCGTTCAAAAGCTGATCTGAATCCAGCAAATGAGCTCTAAATTTTACCTGCGCAAAGCCAAGGCGGACTCGCATCGAAAACAAACTACTCTGTAATTACTTGGAACATGGAAATGAACCTTGATGTCTCTGAAATGGGCTTTGTTATGTAGCTCAGTCAGGGTGTAATCAAGAAATGAGGCCAGTGTAAATTTCTATTTGTTTCAGCCAAGTTAATGAGGATACCATGTTAAACAGCCAAGCCTAAATTGCTTCTGTTCCTAGCAACCCCCTATGTAGCACGAGTTTATTTTTCCTGGTAATTTCTGATATCTTGCATCTCTCTGTCCCCGCTGCTGATTAAAGATAAAATTATATCTTTGATTCGATAGTATAGAAAGCACTTTACAATTACTTGGGCTGTTGATTGACATTAAACCTCTTGATTAGCGGGATGGGAAGGGAGCTTTTTTATTATTGCTATTTTTGTTTCTTTTTCTGAACCAATCAGCTCGGGTCTGCTCCTATCAAGTGGAAATTAACCTCTCTCCAACACCTTTTCCAGGGTAACATGAACCCCACCAATCGTGCACATTCGCAGACGATGATATATTTTCATCAGCCTCATTAATTTTGAAGATGAATTTATAACCCTGGCCAAAATAGGCAATTATTGGCCACAGGAGAACTAACTGGGTGCCTAAATTGTTTTCTGTATGAACGGAGAGCCCGGAGTCAGAGCTAGCCTCGCTTTCTGTCATCACTATTCACACAGCCTACAGCAGAGGATCTAAAAATATTAAGCTAGAAGAAGGGAGTGGGCCTCAGAAATGGATGTATTCTGGTTTGGTAGTCTCACTCTCCCCCCGCCCCCCAGCCACAGGATGGGATGCTAACGTTTTCCCTAGAGTGCCAACAGGATGCAGGATCTGGTTGAGCAGCATTTGCACATTCACATGTCTGTTACATCAAACTCTAAGAGACGCAGTCTGCTCTCATTCTCTGTGTGTGCAATATTCTGGATCTGAATGTTTCATCTGAATTGTTGTGTTTAGTAGTATGTTGTATGTTGTGTTTAGTAGTATGTTTGATGGACACAGCATAGTGTTTTTTTTCCGCCCCCTAACCATTATCCTACCACTTGTCATTAAACTGAATTGATTATATAGTTTTAAACCGCCCTCAGCAATTTATATCAGAGATAAATGCAGCATGCATCGCTAGCATTAGAGGACTAGAGATTTTTCAGTGTATTTAGAATATTGCCCATTATCTTTAGAGATTTCAAATGGGTCTTGATATTTTCTTATTTAGCAAATTTCATAACTTAACAGAAGCTGAAAGCTCAAAACAAAAAAACAGCTGCATTCTGTTCTTGTTAGCAGTGAAATCTTTCTTAGCCAAAATGAACTGCAGACATGGCATAACACCTTGCGGATAAAAGTTTCCCATTAAGTTCCTCATGTCTCTTTCCTGTTGTCGCCACTGACCCTGAAGATGGCCAACTTCATCCACACTGCATCCTCACTGAAGATTGTTGCTGATCTTGTAACCTGTTAGTACACTGGGATGTGCTGACATCAGAACAAGCAGAAAGTCGACCAATGCTGGTCATCATCTGGTTACGCAGTGCAAATCTCTTTAAAGTATTGGTAATTTGTATCAACAATCAACAATTTGCTTCAACAACGTTTTAAGGAAATTCATGTTTTTATTGTGAGAATGAAAGTACCCAAAGTTGATGCACCTGGTATTTTGTTGCTAATATGGAGAATTGTGTTTTTAAAGTAATATTGTTGTGAGGATGACAATCCGAGTAAAAAAAAATGAATAAAGATGTTTTCTATACTTTACGTTTACCTGATTTAATTAGGTCTTCTTTGTTCAGATGTTGCCCATACAGAAATGCCACAGTATCATTCATTTGATACAAAGAGCTTTAAATCTGCTTCATTGTCTGAGATATGAATCTTCCCCTCTCTCCAGGTGACTAAGATGGTGAAGACGGTGACCACCAGAACAGTTCGGCAGGTCCCCCTGGGCCCAGACGGCCTACCTCTGCCTGAAGGCTCATCCCCTCTGAGCAGCTACACCGATTCCATCGACCGACGATACATGAAGAACGGAGGCGAACGCTTCATCACACCCCAAGCAACCTCTACCCTGACCCGCGCCTACAACAACTCCTACAATGACTCGTACGTGGAGACGCCGGAGAGTCAGTACATCCGTCATTACGGCCTCCACGACGGCTACGCGGATTTGATGGACAACTACGGTAGCCTGTCGCGTGGCGTCAACTTCCGGCCGCCGCGCTACCCCTACATGCCCAACAGCTATCGTCCAGAGAACAGCTACACTCTGCCAATTAGAAAGGACGACTATGGCCATGTGGCGCAGCCCCAGGTGCCCATGGGGAGCAGCACAGTGGATCTGAACCGCTCGCAACCTGAGCGATTCCATCCTGAGCCTTACGGTTTGGAGGACGATCGTCGAAGCTTGGGGCCCGAAGAAGAGGAGCCGTACGAGTTGGAACCCGACTACTCCACTGCCAACCGCCGAACCCTTCCGGGGACGAACCGGGGCCGCACTCACAGGGAACCTCTCCGTGATGTGCACAGGGTCAGGTAAGAAGAGACTGCTAACCCCTACACTGCGTACCCAAGTCTGTTTTTTGCAACGAAAAGCAAACTCTTGCTAAATGCTTGTCTCATTGCCTTGTTTTTGAATCAGAAAGACTTCTACAAAAAACATGGTTCTTCGTCTTCAACAATTTGCTAAGAAAGGAAGCGTGGTAAAACCAAATTAGCTTGGATTGGCTTTTTCCTGTAAATGGACAGTAAACACATGTTTGTGTCAGAGATTAAGAGGCAGGAATGACTTCAGATGTGACAAGACAGGAGGAGGATGAAAGGAGAGTGGAGGAGTGTGGCTCGCAACCTTTCAGGACAGGAGGACAACTAATCACCTTAGGGGACAGGAAAAGACCCGTCAGCCCCTCACAATAAACCCTAAAAACCACCTGTGTCTGCTTGTAGCTCTCAGTCAGTTTGTTGTCAACCTTAGAAGAGTCTGAGGAAAAAACATCCAGACTGAGGTAAATTGGACCATGGGATTGAAGCTGAGTCAGTGTGTTTAAAGACATTTTTTGATCACTGATCTGTAGCAGATGGACATTTTCAAGCTCTCTGCACTTTTCCACTAATCTGAGAGTTAAATGTTTGGCGTCTCGCCCGTTCCGACGGAACCAAGAGAGGAGAGGCCTGAAGAGCAAGAAAGGGAGCGAGGCTGGAGCGTACGCGTTTGTTTTGGTCCCCACGAAGGACGGAACGGTACGCAGGTTTCCGGCTTCTTTAATTGAGCATATGCACTGGATTTGAAGGCTCCCACGTTGATGCAAAGGAGCAGAAGCCCAATCACAGCCTCCGTCATTACACACTTGTGGCTGTCCTGTGTCAAATGCACGCACACACACACGCACTCAATAAAATCCCATCTTCAGAAAACAAGTCACTCCTTCAAGAGACACTTGCTGTGACAGGCAATTTGTAACGTGCCTTACATGTGTCACAACACATCTCTAACAGCCACATGCATAGACACACAGTCGCTCATATGCATTCCCAAACACCAGCATGCATCTAGCTAATTTAAACAACAAAAAACCCCATACATTTTCTAATCTTATCTTTGCATTTGCTTTATTTCTTGCCTTGAGAACAATTCCTTTTTTCCGGTCTAAGAACAGCTACTATCAGCTCTCCCTGCAGCACACAGCCTCTTAAGCTCTGAGGCTGTCATTAGTATTCTTCCAAGAAGGGACCAGCGTCTCCGAAGTGCTGTAATGAATCTTAGATTTAACGCGCTCTAATTACAGCTTATCATTTCTTGCAAGCCTTCAATTATGCACAGACAAAAATGGTGATATTTAGTACTAAAGCGGCTTTCTGCGTTGGCGCCATGCGCTTGTTTTGTCGCCACAGCGGACTCCATTGTGCGTCGCTGCGCCGATGGGAATGATGATTTGTCCCCGGGGTTAGCTTCGCTTTTAGACTTCAGGGTTAATTCTAACTTTGCATTGTGGCGCATTAGGACGAACGGCGCCCTCTAAACACTGCCACAAGTAGATTCTCATGCCGCTTGCCGTCCTAATGAGGTAATGGCTACACCAGTCTGTTATTGTGACAACCCATTTAAAACAAGAGCATGCCCCACATTTTCTGTGAATTAGGAGTGTTTCTAATGTTGCTTCAACTATTCTCAAGCTGGCTTGGGATTGTTCTGCAGAAAGTGTCCAAACAACATTGATATCTATGCTGGAATACGTTGCATTGCAAGGGGGGACAAGGCTCAGTACTCGGTAAGCTGTCAATGATGTTCTGGCTTGATCACATTCAGCATGCCTGTAATGGAGTATTTATGATCCTCGCCTCATTCACTTTTATATTTAACATCTGCTAGTAATAGCAAAGTGGAATGTTTTTATGACCTTAACTCTTCTGTAAGGTAGAGACATGGTGGCGTTAAGCGCTGTCACTGTCAAACTAAACATTGTGTATTTCTCAAGCCCTTCTTTAGTCAGTATCTTGCAGAGACACTTTTTTCTTTGCTCTGTTTTGGATCATTGTCCTGTTAAAAGTTTAATCTCAACACTTTTGCAGGTTTTCCTCCAGAACCACCATTTATTTAGCTCCATCTGTCTTTCTGTCGGCTCAGACGAGCTGAAGAAAAGCGAGTCCACAGCATAACGTCATTTGGAAGATGCTTTGTTCCGGATCATGTACAGTTTTAATTATCGCGTGAGCATCTCTATTCCCTTTATGTCTGGACAAGCGGTGAATAGAATCTTCCTCTACATTCGAACTCTAACACAGCCTATATGGCACAGTGTTTATGTCTCTGAGGACCTCCCTGTGAGTGTGGGTGTCTTCATGCCACTGTGATTAATAGCCGCTTTGGAGCTGTGACAAACCACAGGGGCGTCTTAAAGCCGATCTCTAATGGCTCATCTCTCCTTGGGCAATCCACTCCGCTCCAACCTGCCCACCTGTATCCAGAAGTCACACACACCCACACATGCACTCATGACCATAGCTGCTCACCTCTTAATTGAGAAAGGTGGGGGTGTTTTAATCTAATCCACTGATGTTTATATACCGAGTGGCCCATAAAAGAGATGTGACCCTGGCCAATTGATCCGCCTCCTCCCTGCTCACATGCAGTGTCGTGAAAAAGTATTTGTTCTCCTAAATCTTTTTCACATTTCGTGATGTTACAGCCACTTTGTTGCATTTATTGAGGTTCTGTGTGACAGGCTAACTCAAAGCAGTATGTAACCGTGAAGAGAAAGGAAAGTCGGAAACGTGTGGCATGGATGTGTATTCGGACCCCTTTTTCCAATTTAAAACACACATTCTTCTTCACTATCTGAAGTTTAATCCGTCTGAATCACCAACGTTATTTTCTTCTGCTAATCGCCTCTATAATGACAAAGATAATATGTCACAGATATATTTATTAATGTCTGACCACACCAAAACATTGACTTTCTTCTCCTTAAGCCACTTTGTTACTACTTTGGCTGTATGTCCATTACAGACATTACAACTGTATGTCCAAGACCTAAGCTTTAACTTCTTGGATGATGTTTTTAGATGTTTCTTCAAAATGTCAACATAACATTCTTTGCCACCCCTTATTCTTCACAGTTGACGTGGCATTTGAAGGCTTTCCAGCATCTCACTTTTCCACCAAATGTTTCGATGGTAATTATGGCCCAACGAATACTCCTTAGTTTTGTCAGACAACAGGACACGTCTCTAAAAATGAAAGTCTTTGTCCCTGTGAGCATTTCCAAACTGCGATCTTGCTTCTTCTTTTTTATTTATTTTTTTAGCAATGGCTTCCTCCTGACTAAGTGGCTTTTCAGCCCGAATTGGCAGCGAACATGCTTAATAGTGGAAAGTGACACTGTCTTACCAGCCTTTGGCTTTTGTTCACAGGCTGATCTGCACATTTTGAACCAAAGTACACTCAACTCTTGGTCAACTCTTGGTCAGACAAGAGTTGAGTTGGACATTCCCATCCTGTCTGCACTGGCACTCCAGCTTTCAAACCCAGGTCTGACCTCCCTCCTAAGTCCCAGGCCCTTTTTCAAGCTTTTCTTTTTATTACTAGTTCAAATCCCATTCTATATGTTTGAGTTTTCTCACAAGCCTTTCCTCTAAATTATAAATGAAACACTGAGACTTCACTTTGATGTTGAGGAAAATCTCATCTAAAAACCAAGACGTTCTTTTTTTCTTCCTCATGTTTTTTTCTTGCAAACTCATCTCCACAATATCATTCACAGCTCAGAATGACCAATTTATTCCCCAAGGAGTATCGGTGAAAAGCTCATAAATGTAGTAGAGAGTGGTGTGTGTGCGCGTGTGTGTGTGTATACACGAGGTGCACACGTTTTCAGAGTGTGTAATTCTTTTCAGTTTACCTCCTTTGATGGATCTGCAGAAGAACAAGGTCACGTACGGCTCAAGCTGGGAGACGATGAAAGTCGCACAGAAAACATGAACAACCATGAAAGAGAGAATAGTGAGGATCTGCAACTGTCTCTTTAATCCGGCCTTAAAATGAATGCGGCCACGCAGGCCCCCTAAATAAACGTCCGGATGCTCCCAAACAGCTCGGACGTTAAGCAGCTCCCTTAACACGATGAGAGTGATCTGCCGTAATCAAGCTGAGTGTATTGGCTCCAGAGGGGCCCTTTCAGGTCCCCTGAATACAGCCATCCGGGTTCACACAATGCCGCCAATATAAATGCAAATCCTGACATTCCCGTCACTCAGTCTGCTTTACCAAAAGCCCCGCCGCATCTGCCCCGGATCTAAATGAGCCGCGATCCACACAACTGTACATATTATCTGTGTGCCGATGTGTCTGCGTGACAAAGTGAGTATAAAAAAAAAGAAAACCCCACAGCGTGGGGCATAATGAGAGAGAAAGCCGGAGAGAAATAGAGATACAAAAGTGACAGCAGTGGCGGTTTATGTATGCAGGTCTGCTTCACGGCGATGATTCTGAGATTGTGAACTGCGCTCTTCCTTCGGCGGGTTATTCTTGCCTCTCTTTGCCTTGTCAGGTCCAATATTCTGCTGCACACACAAAAAAAAAAAATCTGGGTGATGGCTTGGGTGGCGAGTGCATGTTTACGTCTTGGTGTACGTGTGGATGCTTTTAGTAACCACCAGCGCCTGTACGCTCGCATGCAATTTTCTCATGTTTTTTGCATCCAGTCCATCATGTCACTCAGTGTTTTTGCCAAACCTCAGAGCGCCGGTCTCTCTCCAGATTATGTTCTGTAATCAGAATCTTGATTTGCCCCTCCTTCTACGCTGCGGGCGCAAGCTTGTTCAACAAGAGAAAAGAAACATTTTTTTTCCAAAGTTAGCATTCAGAATGCCGGCTCTATTTATATTAAGGCTAGCTTTGTTTTCTTCAAAGGTTGTAGTTATTCATAGAAGTGGAAGTGGATGAAGCATTTGCATGAATGTTGTTTTCCACAACGCCGCTGCTATTCTGTCTCTGTAACATTTGGGTCCAACTCCAGTGCCTTGCAAAGTGTTTCGTGTTTCTGGAACTCATTCACATCTTGACATGTCACAACCGTACCAATCAAGATATGTTTCAGAAATTTTACAAGACAGACTAAGACAAAGCCGCTTTCACATAAAAAAAAACAAAACCAAACTGCAGAATACACTAAAAACATGGCATGAATTTCCCTTCAGGCTCTTTTATTCCTAATATTCCTAAACATAATCTCGCTTCAACAATGGCCTTTAAGAGGTTACTTAATTAAAAGAGTCGCTCTGTGTTTAGCAGTGTAGGTACAGATGTTCTGTGACGATCCCAGAGGTTTTTCAGGGAAAATTAGTGAACAGATAATCATTAAGACAAAGAAACACAGGAGACCAGTCAAGGATGAAGTAATGGGAAAAATTAAAGCAGTGTTATGTTATAAAATAATATCCCAAGCATTAAGCATCTCTAGGATATCTGGGAATCTCAAAATGGTAGGAGTGTGGCACAGCAACCAATCTACTGAAACTGGCAACCCAGGCGAGGTGAACATGAAGCAGCCAAATGTAACTCATGATGAGCCACAGAGATTCACAGCTTTTGTGCAAGTATCTATTGACGACACAAATTGTGCATCCTCCCGGGACAGTGAGCAATGATTTAACTGCATGATCAATTAAAATGATATCGACTTACATCATTTAGCGTTTTTCTCTTTTCTTTCCCTCTTCCTACAGAAGTCTGAGCTGACAAACGTCTGGTGCTTTTCCACAACTGCATGCTTTGGTTGAGCTTTGGCTATTTTGTCGTGAAGAATGATCAGAAATATACGTTTAAAGAAGCTGGTTGAGACGGTGAAACTGCAGCAAAAGATGGCTTGGAGTGGTAGCTGTTAAACGTTTTCAAAAATGTCAACATGTGACCAACATCGGACTTGAAGTGTTGATGCCACAGTATTTTTGCAAGGCACTGTATCTCTCTTTATCATCCAGCAGAAAAGGGATTTAGGATTTTTGACACATTGTTCAGGAAGGAGTTCATCTGTTATTGATTTCCGTGGCAGAGAGATGCATAAACTACAGTAAATGCCACAGAATCCAATATGTTACTGCGTGGCTTTTTGAAAGAGGGATACATGAGAGTTGAGGCAAGACGGCATATTGATCCACTTCCAGTTTTCACTGAATGCCGTAGAGAAAGCTGCAAAACGACATAATTAGCATAAAGCTAATTAAACGTGGAGCGCCATGGGTAAAATCTCGTCAGCAACCGACTTTGGACACCACCAACCACCATGAAAGATGGTGAGAGGAGACCATCTGGATTATGCAATGAGGGTAAACAAGTTTCAGTCTGGCGGATGGGTGGTGGGGAGGGATGCTAAGTGCTGCGTGTAGCTACACAACACTTTAGTTTTGCTCCTAATGACAGAGCACTGCTTGTTTTTTTCTTTCTGCCTTTTTGAAAAAAAAAAAAAAACATTTAAAACATTCCCTGACTTTGTATGTGGTGTCACAAGTGGGAAGCCTTCTCAAGAGTTTAAGAAAAAGCAGACAAACACTCCTGTCTCTGGATTCAAACAAATCTAGTCATCCATGTTCCTATGAAGAATGTATGACAATGTCTTTGGAGTGGAGGACCGTAGAGAACAGACTCAAAGGGACTTTGAAAATGTCGGATCAGTGAAGGACTCCCCACCCTCTCGGTGGACCACTTTGCTCCTTAATTCTGTCACCAGAAAAGCAGTTAGAGCTCAGTACTGTTTAAGTCCCCAACACTAATAGGAGAACTGCTAATGAGGGTAATGCTAGCAGAGAAATCCCAGAGTGTTGGTCATTAACATTTCAGTGACTGCATGCTAGTGTTTGGAGCTGTGAGCAAAAGGAGCCTGCAGGGGCTCCTAGTCCTCCCTGGGGGAACTCCTTGGCTCTTTTCTCTGCCCCCTGGGGGAAGAGATATCAAATCCTTTTTTCTGGGTTCCTTTAAAAAGAAGAAGAGGAAGACTTCACAGGTCTTTCCCTCAAAGCTTTTACTTTTTGTTGTTGCTCTGTCTCTGTTGGTTTGCAATCGTTTCCTGTCTCCTAGTCGCTTTCTCTTCAACTCGATGTTTGTTGAAGTCTGACATGTTTGTCACTCCTACTGACAGGGAGTAGGGAGCAGAATGCTGCAAATCATTTCGTTTATTGCAAAGGGCTGCCATCAGAATCCCACTGACAAACTTGATGAGAACAGATCCAAACATTGGATCACCTTGTCCTCTCCTCTACCTTTTCCCCTCATTAGTCAGTGAGTCTCACCTCTGTTGGCTTTTCTTCTAGCCTGTCGCCTGGCTGTCTGATTTTTCTCAGACAAATTCAAGTCGCCCTCCATTTACCTCCCCCATCTAACATGTCTTGACTGTCCTCCCTTCTGTTATCTTGCAGAGATGACCCCATTGAGGCAGAGCTGATTGATGAGCGCCACCCTTACATCCATGGTATGTATTCAGCACCACTTGCTCAGCCCGAGAGAGGAAGCATGGCCAGTCTGGACCGAATGGCCGGCCGGCGTTCACCTTCCATCGACAGCATTCGCAAGGACCCCCGCTGGCGGGACCCCGATCTCCCCGAGGTCATCGCCATGCTGGGTCACCCCATCGACCCGGTGAAGTCCAACGCCGCCGCCTACCTGCAGCACCTCTGCTACGAGAACGACAAAATTAAGAAGGACGTCCGCCAGCTGAAAGGGATTCCCGTTCTGGTCAGCCTTTTGGATCACCCCAAGTCCGAAGTGCATCGCAAAGCCTGCGGCGCACTTCGGAACATCTCCTACGGCAAGGACAATGAAAACAAGGTGGCCATCAAGAACTGTGATGGTATTCCGGCCCTCATCCGGCTGCTGAGGAAGACCAATGACATGGAGGTTCGAGAACTCATCACTGGTAAGAGGAACATTTCCCAATAAAAATACTGTTTTATTTTCTGTCTAAACGTTTTGAGCTTTACATCTTGCTATAATGTCATTTTTTTCATCAAGACATACCTGGAACTCAATACATTCATGCATGTTTGAGAAGTCCTTTCATCTCCATGGCAACCATTCAGGTGCGCAAAGCGCCTGGGTGGTCCTAGCGCCTGCAACTCCAACTCTCAGCTCCTTCAGACTAGTCAGCAGACATTAGCAAACACCTGGTGGATGTGCACATTTGTGTAACCATTGGACAAGCTACTTCTCAGTGCAACACCTGTGAAAAAGTTGTTCAAGGGATGATAGAGGAACGATGTTGCAAGCATTTGTTTTTAAAGAGACAGAGGCCCAATTTCAAGGGATTACTTTATGATGTGCAGTTGCTTTCAAGTCATACCAAGCATCTTTATAACTTAAGGTAACAGTTATGTGATTGTGCTATAAAAAGGCACTATGTGCCTGGAAAATACATACTGACTCTTAAAAGAATTAACATCTGCTTACAGCTGCAGAGAGAGTAAATTCTTGTTTTGGGGTTTTAAACGACTTATATTCAGAGGGGGAGGAAATTGCTTCTGCCATATTTTGTCCATCAGAAATCTGCGACTGTCACAAATTTCACCCAACTTCTTTGTGATTATAATTCGATTTGACAGCATAAACGCTGTGGCATGATCATAAGTTTACGGAGATGAACAGGGGGTTTCATTCCCTACTGGATCTGTCTCTGCTATTCTCTCCTCTCACAGGCGTTCAGAACACAGAAACTGTGTGTCTGGCAAATCTCTCTAAAGTTTGTTACAGCTGTACATTACCATGCCATTTGAAGCTCACATAGTTGTTACAAAGGGAAACTGCTGCAACAGAATCAATAGGCTAAAAATCATAACTTTTAATTACACGTTAAAGACTCTCTCTCTTTCTCCCTCGGTTTCTTGGCGAGAACTCGGTTGGCTCTGCTCCAGCGGCAGGAATTACTGTGAGGCCCTTTTTTCAGAGTCCAAAGTGAAAACAGAGAGAGTCCAGGTCCAATAGTCGAAATAGGTCTTAATAAATTTGGAAAAAGAAACCCCATGATTAATCAGTGTGTAGTCGACTGGCACTAAAATTACATATTTTCCTTCCTGTCTACTCTTTGAAGCTTTACCTCTATGCAGTAGTTCTTTACTTTGGCAGACCTGCCTATTTCTCTCCAGTTGGCTGCCACATCTTTTATATTCTGGTTCGTGGTGTGCTCCTAGTTATTGATACAACTTTGTTACAGCAATTCGGCGATGTTAACGTCTCGATATCTGCTTGGACCCTCTTACTTTATGTGATTGGTTTGTGTTGCAGGTGAGATGGATTTTTATTTCTTCTCTCTTTCAGAGGAGAGAAACTTTGATGTGAATCAAGTTTGTTGCTAGGAAGAGATAATTGTGTGTATAGCGCCTGCAGAGCTGCAAATGAGTCTTTCTTCTAATCGAGGAGCCGATACATTTCTGTAAAAGACCTGATGCTGCACCGTAATGACGAAGCTCTGAGTGTTAGAAGCAGATTTTATCACAGGAACTCCACGGCTCTCGAACCGAGACGGTGTGTATTAACAAATAAGGGGATATTTAATTACTTAAGCCACGGCGTTCTGTACTATAAGCAGAAAGACGAAGCGAGAGCAAGAAGATCTCGCGTCAGGAAGAAACAAAGAGCACACGAGTATTGATCCTCGTAGAAAAGTCTGTAGTCTGCATCGGATAACCAAAGACGTTTTAATTCTTCTTGGAGAAGCCATTGAATCAGAAGTGAAGCTCCGGTAGAAATCAGCTGGGAAATACATGCGTGTGCATTTGTGTGTGTGCGGGTTCAGTTCATTCCAGCTGATTTAACCTGACACACTCACACACCGTGGCATCTGAGAAGAGATGAGAAGAGATTTTTCTTTTTTTCCGGCGCACTCGTGTGAAAAATGAGACACTTTAAAGTGAGATACCCAGACATTGTGAAGTAGGTGCCAAGTGAAAACACAGAGTGCATGCTGAAATTTAAGGAGGAGGGGAATGGATTTGGTTTTTATGCTCTTTAGGGGAGGAACATCGTCGTCACGTAAGGTTTCCAGCACTGGCAACCGCTCTGACTCGGCATTATAATACGGATATCTGTGCAACTGTCACCCCAAACTACAAACATACAGGCTATTATTTACGCTGACGCCAGTCTTTATAATCCCAGCGTTTTACGAACCGTTGTTGGCATGGATGCCTAAGTGTTTGCATAAGTGAGTCTCCTTTGTTTTGACAGAGATGTAGCAGTGAGCGATGGCGGTGCCGCTGCAGAAATGATTGCCTTTACAGCACCGTGTTGCTCCCTATTGAAGCTAAAAATAACCCCTCACCACAAGACAAGGAGGATGGAAGGGAAAAGGAGGCTTTTCTCCCCCTCTCTCACTCATTATTCAGCCCTCCCACGCTCAGTCTCTGGGGTTTTATTTTTTTTCCCCCCTCTCCTTCATTCATTATCTACAGACGGTGATCTTCGTTCTCTTGCTGCTTTACTCTTTGTCCTGCTCTAGGTGGTCATTGCCCCGCAGGAAACCAGCTCCTCACAATGCAGGCTCAGCCTGCGTCCCCAGCCACTTGTCTGGAATTGCCCCGTGCTTTTCGGCAATTAAATATAATTCAAGGTTGTTTTTTTTTGTTGTTGTTTTTTTAAATACGGGGCTCTTTTTCTTAGTTCATATGTTTAAAGGTTTTGCTGTGGAAGTATGTGCAGCCCTATGCAAAAACCACTCAGAGAGCTCTGTTTTCTCCTAGTGGAAATGGGTGACGTGGAAGGAACCTAGTGGTTTCATTTTCCAACACGCACACACACACGCACATGAGACATGCAGACAAGTCATTTATATTTTTAGAACTTTTTACTTTTCAGAGTAATTCTGCTTTCCTGTTTCAGCAGCCTCTGGGCTGTTTGTGGCCTCAAGCAGATTCCTTTGTGAAAAGTGAGATCATGAGGCAGATCGGTGCTGCATTTTCCACAGATTTTATTGCTCTCATGAGACGACAAACAAGGAAATATGACATGAGAAATCAATAACTGAAGATAAATGACGTCTGAGTTGGACCTGAAGGTGATTGCCGTCTTCAGGTTTGTTTAACATCAACTTATTTTAAGCTGGATGAATGAAAATAATGAAACAAATGAATTGGAACTTAATTTTCAGCCATTCTTTTAATTCAAATAGAAAAAGGTGATTGCAGTTCAGTAACTATTCAGTTTCACCTGGTTCATCACCTTGTTGCTAAGTTGATACGCCTTTATTAGAATTGTGATGAACACTAAAAGTATTTTAATAAGTTTGTCAAATTGTTGCAGGAGAGCTAATTAAAACATTATTTAGTGAAGCTGCGTCCCATTCCTATGGTTTTTATTATTTGATTGTGATTTTCTGGATGACTTTTTTTTTCCCCCCCTCATAAATATACAAAATAAAAAAGCAGCGAATAAAAAAGACATTTTTGCTGCTAATTTATCAAACAGATAGACAAGACCAACAGCAAAGATGTTTATTGGTTCTACTACTGGCAGCAGACAAACCACAGGTCAATGGAAATCTAAAACTACTTTGATTAGGCCACTGGACTGGTACCTGGGATCTGGTCAAGACATCACAAGAAGTGGCTTATGTTCCTTTGTATGAAGTTTCAGCTTCTGTGTGATGCCAAGTCCTTCCAGTCACATTTTAATTCAATAATCTCTATGCACACTTATGCACAAGTGTGTATGAGTGTGCATAGTCAACACCGTGAGTTTGCATACTTAGGTTTCCATCTTTGTTGGGTTTTTATGCACTTTGCATCCCCTTTGCTAAACTGCGTCCCCCCTCCTCGTTGCCACTGCGACGTTGATGGATGACAAGAGGGGTGAAGAGCAGAAGGAGAGGAGGAGAACAGTAATGGGCAGAACTAAGTTAATAGCTCTGCTTGAAGAGCAACATGTCTGCCAGTGGTGCCTGGAAAATTTAATTAGCCCCCGCCACAGCTCCTGTCCCGTTCCCAGTCCTACTCGCCGTCCTTCCAGCTCCAGCCTGTCCAATCAGAGACAAAAAGGCAGGGCAAGACGTAAAAGGAAAAACAAGGCAAGAACTGAGACAAGGCAAACGGACTTCCTTTGATGAATTTTGGCCTTTTAATTGGAAATCACACAACGCCACCATTTTCATGCTTCCAGTCAGACTTTGTTGTTTTTCAATTCGTCTTGAAAGAGAATCGGTGCGACCCGGTCCGACTGTTTACCTCCGACTGTTTACTCCTGAGAAGTTTACTCATCAGATAAACAGCATTAATAAATCAGAAAGGAACAGCACTTCCAGACCTTGAAAGTAGTCTGACTTGGGTATCAATGTTGCTTATGAAGTCTTTCAAACTGTAGATCCTGACTCTCTTTGACAAAAAAAAGAACGCTTATGTAAGATCAGCATCGAGAGGTCAATTACTTTTTTTTTTGTTGCTTCTCCCAAACCTCAGTTGGTGTCATGATTTATGCAAGTGCAACACCAGTTTGAACACTTTCATCTATATTCAACAGCTCTGAATTTTTCACAAGCGATGCCATCCTCGGTACTCTACAGTTTTCGTCCTGCTTACATATCTGCACGATGCGTTTAAGGTGAGCTATTAGACACGTTTACAAAGTTATGCACTCATACCAGGTGCTCGGTGGATGTTTCTGCCTCGGGTCAGCCGTGCCTGGAAGACAGTAGGACTCCCCTCAGGGCGTCTGTCTCTCACAATCTGACAGAGGACAGCAAACTGACTAAACCCGATCCAGAGTCACTGGCCTGAAACAGCGACAGGACGCTGGATGGAGATCGTCACTTCCACGGCGCTCTGTCATCCTGAATAACGCTCTGTCAGTGGGCTGTATGCCTGTCGGACTTGATGGATCGCCGCCACGGCAAAGACGTGTCTTTCCCTCCCCTTAGGCTCATGTGATCAGCGT